TCGAACTTGCCCTCTGAGATGGCATCAAAGGAAGGATTAGGGCGTATTGTCAGCTCTTTGGGTCGTCCCTTTGTACGGATTTTCCTACGAAGCAAGGGACGCGGTTGGGGGTTGCGAAGCTTTGTGTTGAAATCTCTGTGAAGTCTAATTTGGTGAATAAGTTGAGCATTACCCCTGATGATCACCCAGAGATGCTGGTGGATGTAGAGTATTGTCATGTCCCGAGCAAATGTGAGAAGTGTCAAGTATTTGGATATGACTGCTCAAATCCTGGAGGGAGAACGAAGAAGGTCTGGTTTGTGAAGCAACCTAGAGGGAAGGAAATAGATCTTGTTGGGCAGAAGGATAAGGGGAAAAGTGTGATTGAGGTTCCACAGGAGGAGGTAACTCAAAGGTTGGAAGCTGGGCCGAGTTTTACGGTGATCAATGACAATGTTTCTTCTCCTGTTCCAGTGCAGGGTAGTGACGCAGAGCTATCTCGCGTTGCTGATGATGGCTTCCAAGTGGTTACACACAAGAAGAATAGAGTGAGAGCTCCTGCCCCGGGGTCTGTATCTAGAAGTCCATGGAGTTTATCTGCTGGTTCAGGGAAAAGTTCTCTTGATGATAAGGCATTTCCTTCTTTAAGTCGACCTATTCTGAGGTGTCCGGTGGATCCTCCTCCTTCTGCTCCTGCTAGGGGTAAGGGTAGGGGGAAGAAGCGGGGGAAATGAAGCTCCTATGTTGGAATGTCAGGGGGTTTAATGCCCCTGCAAAGCACACTGTTGTGCTGAAGAAGTTTTGTTATTTGAAGTTGGATAAAGTAGCACTCATAGAAACTAGAGTTATAGCAGCTAATAGTTCTGATATACTTTCTAAGCATTTTAGTCATTTTAAGCACTTGAATAACTACCCTAAATCCCCTAATGGACGTGTCTGGTTGCTCTGGAAGGATGGGTTGGATGTTGTTAAAGTTGATGATGGGAAGCACTTCATTAAAGTCAGAGTTGGAGGACCTTCCCCCTTTCTTCTCTTAGTGGTGTATAGCCCAAACAAGGAAGCTGACAGGGTTGTGTTATATAAGGATCTCTTACTTCAGCAAGAGGTTAATGTCCCAATGGTCATTATTGGTGACTTCAATGTTGTGATTGACCCGGGGGAAACTTCAAACCTCATGGTTATGAACTCAAGTATGGTCTCTTTTAAATCATGGATGGCAGACATGAATGTGGTATATCATAAAGTTATGGGATCCTGGTTTACTTGGTGGAACAAGCAGGAGGGGAACCCTATTGCCAAAAATCTGGATAGAATTCTCGTTAATAAAGCATGGTTATCTGTTTTTCAAGCTAGTTCTGTTGTTACTACTCCTTCAGAAGTCTCGGATCATTGTGGGCTGTTACTGGCAGTCACTCCCCAGGTGAAAAGTTTCCCAAAACTATTTAAGTATTTCAAATTTTGGACTAGTCACCCTACTTATAATGGGTTAGTCTATGATGCTTGGAGTTATAAGGTGAATGGTTGGCCCTTTTTCGTTTTTTATGGTAAGCTCCAGAAGGTTTGCCGGGCTCTTAACAAGCTAAATAATAAAGTTTATGTTGATATCTCTGCTCAGACCCGTGCAAGTGAGAGTAGATTGGAGGCATTACATTTGTCTATTCTTGCCAATCCTAAGGCTGCTTTGGTGGGGGAAGAAAAGAAGCTCTCAGTTGAGTGTCATGAATTGCAAAGAGCTGAAGAGAGTTTTTACAAACAGAAGGCTCACACTAAAGGGGTGCAAGAGGGTGATATGAATACTGCTTTCTTCCACCGTTCTGTGAAGATTCACTCTCATCGCCAGCAGATCACTCGACTTTTGAATACTCAAGGACAGGAGGTGACTGATGTCAAGGAAATGGGCAAGGTTGCAGTTGATTTTTACAAGAAGCTTATTGGTGAAGTTGATTCTGCTATGTATGTTCATCCGTCTAGTTTCTATGAGGCGCTGGCTCTTAAATCTCTCACTCGGGAGGAAGCTAGTTCATTGACTGCTCCAATCTCTAGGGAAGAAATCCATCAGGTGTTTAAGAAACTTGGGAGAGACAAGGCTCTAGGCCCGGATGGCTTTTCATCTGAATTTGTTAAGTTGCACTGGGATTTGGTTGGCAGCTTAGTAGAAGATGTTGCATTGGATTTATTCTCTTCTGGCATTATGCCTCAGGCTCTGAACTCTACTCTATTTACACTTGTGGCAAAGGTCCCAAATGCTGTGAGAATGAAGGATTTTCGTCCTATCTCCTGCTGTAACACGGTATATAAAGGATTTCAAAGGTTTTGGCAAACAGGTTAGCTTCTGTTCTACCCTCTCTCATTTCTGCTTCTCAGTCTGCCTTCATTAGAGGGAGGTCTATTAGTGATAATATTCTCTTAGCATCAGAGTTGGTGAAAGACTATCATAGGAAGAGAATTACCCCACGTTGTGCTATGAAAATTGACATTATGAAAGCGTTTGATTCTGTGGATTGGAATTTCTTATTCTCTGTTCTTAGACATATGGGAGTCCCTGAGATTTTTGTAAAGTGGTTGAATACTTGTGTCTGTACTCCTAAAGTGAGTGTTGTGATGAATGGTGGTGTTTGTGGTTTCTTTGAGATGAAAAGGGGTTTGAGGCAAGGGGACCCTCTTTCTCCATACTTGTTTACTATTGCAATGGAGGTCATGGATGCTATGTTGAAGCTTGCGGTTAGGCAAAACCAAATTCCTCCTCACCCTAGATGCAAACCATTGGCAATTACACACTTGTGTTTTGCTAATGATTTATTAATTTTCACACATGGTTCTATCAGGGGGTGGTAGGGGTATGTAGAATATTAGATGCTTTTTACAAGGTCTCTGGTTTGAAGTGCAATCCCGATAAATGTCAATTGTTCTGTGGGGGGATTTCTGAGTCTGAGCAGCAGCGTATCTCTTTATTCTCGAAATTTCCTCTTGGCACCTTGCCTGTCAGGTATCTGGGAGTTCCACTTATTACTGGTAAACTCTCTTGGGCTGAATGTCGTGTCTTGGTAGAGAAGATCACAGCAAAGGTTTCTAGCTGGAGGGCAAAGACTTTAAGTTTTGCTGGAAGATTGCAGCTTATTACATCAGTTCTGACTAGTGTTCTGCAGTTTTGGATGGGGATATTTCTTCTCCCTCAGTTTGTTATTAAAGAGGTCGAGTCTAACTATAGCAAATTCTTGTGGGACATAACTAATACATCATTGAGGACGAGGGCTGTTGTTTCTTGGGAGTTCCTAGCCCGGACAAAGAAGGAAGGAGGCTTAGGGATTCGCAATTTTGCAATCTGGAACAAAGCCTGTGTACTTAGGCATTTCTGGGCAGTCCTTGCTGAGGAAGGCTCCCTTTGGGTAGCCTGGATTCATCGTTATCGTGTCAAGAGCAACTCAATCTGGGATCTTCAAGCTTCTGCTGCATCTTCCTGGATATGGAGGAGAATTCTAAAATGTCGAGCAATGGCTAGGCCTTTTATCTCATCCTTGCAGGGGGACTTGACATGGGATGGTGGGATCATGGATTCCTATTCTGTTAAACGAGTCTGGAATTCATTGTGGCAAAAGAGGAGCATTGTGCCTTGGAGAGATCTGGTTTGTGATAATGTGATTCTCCCTCGTCATGGTTTTATTCTATGGCTAATCATTCATGATAGGCTGAAGTTGCAAGATCGGCTAATTTCTTGGGGGAAGAAGAGTTGGAAAAATGACCGTCGGTGGGATAGTTTTGTCGCGAAGATGGGGAGAAAAGCTGGCAGATTATTTTTTATTTTAATTGCTAAATAAATAATGTAATTACTATCCTACTCTTCATTAAATGAGATTAATTATAACCCTTAGATTTAAAATAGAATAAAAGGTTGAGAAAACACAAACCACAAACATAGGAAACCACACTACAAAAGAGAGCATATTGTAACCTCACTGCACCACAAGTTCCTTCAAGCACAGCAGAAGTCTCATAAAGCATATCATAAGTTCATTAAAGAACACCACAAGTTCATAATGCACACCACAAGTTTCTTAAAGTAGACCACTAGTCTCATGAAGCACACCGAAACCCTCAAAAAGTACACCACAAGTTTCCTAAAACATACTAGAAACCTTATAAAGCGTATCACAAGTTTATTGAAACAAACCACAACTTTATTTAAACGTACCACAAGTTTCGTAAAGTATACAGAAACATCATAACTGTGGACTTATTTGTAAATTTTAAAAAGTTTAGGTATCAAAATCTAAGCAAAAAAATATTAGTTTCTAAAATATAATTTTTCGTCAACATTTTTAAGACTTGCTTGTTAAAGAAATTAATTTTATATACTACATATTAAGATCTATTAAGTAGATACCAAAATTATAATTTGTTTAAAATCTCAATGAAAGGAACGTTGGAAAATGAAAAATGATAATTATTATTACTCTTATTAAAAATGATAATTTGTTTAAAATTTGTTTAAAATTTCACTTTCTAACACGCTCCCTCAAACGAAAGCCAACTCACAGGCTTGAAGTTTGCACAAATCCATCATGCTTGAAGTTTGCACAAGTCCATCATACCTTGTGCTTTACTAAACTATTAATATTGGAGGTCGTGAAGATTCGAACACACGACCACTTGGTCAAACCAACTCTGATACCATGTAATAAACCAATTGGTCCTAATAACTCGAGTTATTGGAAGAAATTTATGTTAATTCTTATACCACTCTCTTACCACAAACTCCCTTCTTACTTACTATCAAGTTTCAAGTCGAAGTTCAACTTCTTGGTCACCCAGCACGCCTTGTGTTCTAGTTCCACTAAATGGCAAACCATGCCGAAAACTGACTTGAATGGGACATGCGCAAAGGAGTTCAAAGCCAGTCTGGTATGCCCATAAGGCATCATCTAGCTTTCTAACTAAATCCTTCCTGGAGGGGTTAGCTGTTGTCTTCAAAATGTGCTTCAACTCTACGTTAGCCAACCCTGTCAGCACGGTACCAAAATTGTACAGACGCACGATTGATTTCAGCACAAGTGACGCTGCAGAATGAGTGTTGTACTTCAGCTGAATCATACCATTTCCATATGTTGATTAATACAAATTTCTATGGGCTCTATAAAGAAGAAAAGAGATACTTTCTTTGACCACATTTACAACATCACAGAAAAAACTGATCTGCTAGGACTACTATATTCAACACTTCCCACCGCATATTAAAGGATTCAAAGCACCACCCACCACGATCTTAAAGCAGAATATGACCACCATCCATCTCCCTTTCTGCCTCCCTGACAGCCAAGCCAAGCATTATTGCATTCCGATGCAGGTAAAGGAAACTGCACCTTTTGGATCCTTGCATGAAGGTTTTATATTCACATGTCTACACCCTCATCAAGACCCTTGGAACTGATCATCACATTAGACTCGATTTGCTTATCAAACTTCTTCTTCCTTCGTGCTTCGAATTCTTGAAACCCTTGCATCTAAGCGAATTCACAAGCACTTCAGTAACAGACAAGGAATTTGATGATCTCCAATCCAAAGATGGAAAAACACTTGTTGGAACTAGGCTTTACCTGCTGGAATTGATCCATCGAAATAGGATTCTCATGCAGGGATAAATTCTGAAGAGACTTGCAGTCTCTCAAAAGATTTGAAGGAATCTGTGACCAAATAGTTACAAAATTGTTTTCAATTGACATATCCAACCAATCAAAATTCTAATCCGCGCAAATCCATTTACAGGTTTCATGTCAATCTTGCGGAGTAGCCAAAATCATGCAAAAAGGAGACTAACATTACAGAGTCTGAGATGGACGTAAACATAAAATGTCAACACAAGGCTAAGGTTTTACACATAAATGTCAGTATGGTATAGAAATACTCAAAATGAGAGTAGCTAAGAAATTTAAGGATTCACGAAAGGAAAAAAAAAATATAAGATCTCTTGAAGTCATATAAAACTGAATCTGACTACCAGACCAGGCACACAATAATAAAGAAGCACTATGAAAATGACAGACTAGTTAGGCTATGGCAGGTGGCATGATTTATGCTTGAATATAAATAATCAACAGAACAAATCAGTGAAGTTAAACAAGATTTGGCGTAGAATCACCTGATTAACATTATTCTTATTCAAGGAGAGTGACTTCAAATGCACGAGATTGCAAATAGAGACAGGAAGATCCTCAATTAGATTGTCTGCCAAAAAATCAAACTAAACAAGTGTCAAATCCCCAAAATATTAAGTGCTAGAATAGTGAGAATCACGCATTATTTTAGAAAAGGAAGCAAACAACAAGCACAATTTAATCGAGTTAACATGTTTTAACCATGCAACGAGAAAGGATCCAGACCATGCAAATGAAGAAGGATCCAGACAAGCACAATTTGATCAGAAAATTCCAGATGGCGAACTACCAAATGAAGCATCCAGACCAACAACCAACAGAGAAAGTATCCTTTTACTATTAAGTAATCCCACACAGAAGGTTGGGTTGAATTCCAAATTTCCCATTTCTGACCTTTATGTAGAAAGTTGTCTTCAACAAGGGAAAAGTTCATAAAATCTTAAAGAGAAGTGAACCATTCTCCTTGCGTCTTCTCATGGATAAATAGCATTTTATAGTTCAATATCCATCCTGTGATCTCCATGACAGGATGGTGACAAAGAAATCACAAGAAACTGAACCTACCATTTGCTTCTAGTTCCTCCAGAGAGAAGCAACTCCCAATCGATTCTGGGAGAGTCTTTAGCTTGTTACCGGAAACATTCAAAAGGGACAACTGCATATTCATGAAAAAAGAACCATACGCTTAGTGAAATCAGTAAACCATTGCATGCTCTACATGACATCCTTGAAAATTTAATGAGCTTTTTAAGTACTCTGGATGTCAATATCTAGCTCGTAGCAGTTTCACCATGCAAAACTGCATCACTGTTTAGTTTATTACTTGTGCAACAAAAATACTCCGTTGTTCTAGAATCATTAGCAGAAAAGAAGGTAGCAGTGACTTGATCACCTCTGAAGTAAAATTCGAATTCAGAGCTTATGGCACTTTCGGTTGTTCTTGGAGGTTTCATAACTTACAGGACGCAAGTTCTGCTTATTTCCGTGCAAGCGAAAAAAATCTTGTGTTTCTCCCAAATGCGGATGAAACAAAAGGTAATAGAAAACTGATGCACCAGGAAGAGGAAGCTCAAATAGAAGAGGGATAGAAACCACATGTCAGGGAGGAAGTGACTTACATTGCGCAAGCTTCCAATGGTCTCCGGCAAGCACGTTAACAGATTTCCTGAAATCGATAAGCGCTCAAGCCTCACCAACTGGCCCACTAGTCACGGAAACAGCGAGACAATGTAAGAATAACAAAACTAGACTTATGTTGGTATCACTGTGGCAGGAAGTTTAGGGATAAAGGCATGAGTGTAATCATGAAGACAACAAAAAAACTTAGCTAATAAAAATATTATTTTATTCAGAGAAGAATATTACATTCATCAGGCAAGAAAGAAAGCCGGTTTCCATCAAGTGTCATAACCTTTAGAGACTGGAGTTTCCCCAAATTCACTGGTAGCCTCTCAATTGAGTTTTCTGCCAAGATCTGAACAAAACACACTAGCTCAAACATTGCTAAAACTCAACTCCACAGAATAAAGAACAATGTTGCATGCTGAATTCCCAGTTGCACCAACTAGGACATGGACACAATTGCAGACATGAAAACTGGGTAATAATAGTTTAGAGTAATAAAATTTATTAAGAGAAACATACGCAAAAAATAGGGAAAAGGGCATTTTCTTCTTTCTTACAATCGCACAATTCAGTTCAATGAAGGACCAGTCATAAACATAATCATCATTAGAAGTTTTCTACTCTTACCAATCGCTGCATATGGATCAGCTTGCTAATTTCCATAGGGATATCAACTGCAATGCAAAAATAGATATTCAATTTAGAAGAGCTAAACAGAGAAACCCAGCTACGAACAGGTTGTGCTCAGCCTATAACAGTTACAAAAATCAAAATCAATCTTGCACACAAAGGAAGGGCAGTGGATGATATAACACCTACCCCAATTATGATTAACTGACACCAACAAGGAGCATAATATCATACAGTTCACTAAAACTTGCATTTCTTCATTCTGACAGGGGGAATACAACCTCACCTATTTTGTTGTGTGTCAAATCAAGGGTACGCACAGCTTTTTCAAGATCAATAACATCATCCGGGAAGTTCTGTGAGTAAGAAAGCCATACAGATGAATGAACAAGGCAATTCAGCGGAGATTAAGCATGAGAAGAAAAACAAAACGAACAATCCATGGTCACTGATGAAATTCATGGTATGAGCATCGTGCTTGCTGAAATTCTTCAATTGGTAATGGAAACAACTTCACCTCCCACGATGACTGGGCAGAGTACCCTTTTAGTAAATACGGTAGTCAATGTTAATCTATGAGTTTCAGAATATTGACATTAACTACAACCCACTTAAACTTAGAATAAGAATTTGTTTCATGGTCTATGGGAAAAGTATATCTCATGAACATTGCCAAGTCCAATAATATTCATATCATCATACTCTACTTCCTCAGAAGTCTATCTAGATATCCTGAACCAGAACATTCAACCCCCATCGAATCTAGGCTATAACAACTTGTACTCTCCAACCCAAATCACGTTCAATCAATTAGCGTGGACCATGCAATAAGGGAAAAGAAAATTGTAGCTAAAGAGTAATCAAAGCTTCATGGCAAGTTAACATCAAATGAAAACCCCAGAGAAACGATTCCCAACCAAAATAGTTGAGGCTTCCACAACAAATTCCAACAATGAGAATAAACCCAGAGAAGATATTAAAAGTGCCAAGGAACCCAACATAGACAAAGAAAGCGAGAAGTTGTCAAAAGAAAAAAAGGAAGAGAGGAAAGAAGTGCGTACCTTCAATTTAGCGTCGCGCAAGGCAACAATACCGGTGGATCGCCAACGAGCAGCCCTGGCGGCTTTGGAATCTACGTTTTTGCTTTCGCAGCAACCCATGGCTTCCTTCTTTGTACGCTTGTCCTGCCTTGCGTCAGGGATATCTCCGTCTGTCTTCTCTTCCTCTCCACTCTCGGCCCGCAGAATGAGATTGGCCGGAGCAGTTGGGAAGAGAAGATATGAGGGTAAAAGGAAGGCTTTTGGTTTAGGAAGGGTGGGTGCGAGGAATCGAGAAGTCAGTCCAATTTACAGAGTCGTTGTGTCCCGCGTCTTGTCTTCTCGCGAGAGATGCCTTCCCAAGTTTGACCATACCCACATCAATACTCAAAATACCATTGAAATTTTGGGTTGTATAACAACTATTTTTAGAGTTATATGGTATTCATATATCAAGCATATCCCTCAATTTTTTATATCAAACATACTTTTAGATAATTTATGGAACATGACTTTCCATTACAAAATATATCAAACATACTTTTAGATAATTTATGGAACATGACTTTCCATTACAAAATTTAATCTGTGGAAGAAAAAATTGTCAGTTTTGCTTCTATGTTTCTCTTTTTAAGTCTCGTTAAAGTGAAATTATCAAGGGTATGGAACTATACAAAAGAAACCAAAAAATGTTAAAGTGAAATTATTAAGAGTATTTCGACATTTATGTCTCCTAAATCACGGTTCGATGGTATTGGTAAGTTTTAGTTGGAAATTTTAAGAGAATGACATGTTTGATAATTATTCTAGGAGTATGTTTACTGTAAAAGATAGTATATGACATGTGTTGAGGAAAATGCATAGTGAGTGACTATATTATACATATACCCTATTGTTAAATGTAGGGATGGCAATTTTGCCCATACCCATGGGTATTTTACTATCCAACCCAATTGGGTTGGGTATGAAATCCAAATATATGGATATGGGTAAAGTTTAATGAGTTTGTACCCATACCCATTTACTTTGGGTTGGATTTGGGTTTGTACCCATGCCCAAATACAAATTACAGTTTGGTACCTAAACTTAATAGATATGCATATTTAGTACCTAAATTTAATTTTTTTTGCATATAAGTCCTCAAAATATCGATGGAAAATTACGTTTTGGTACCTAAATTTTTTTGGTCTTACATTTTGGTACCTAAAATTTTCAAGTTTTACAAATAAGTCCAATTTTTGCATGTGTAGTTAAAACACTCTCAAGTAAATGGATATCCATATCCAACCCATACCCATTTAGATAATATCCATATCTAACCCAAACCCATACACACATCACCCAAACCCTACCCATAATAAATGGGTCTACATGGGTTTGGGCAAAATTACCCATGGGTGGGTAAATTGCCATCCTAGTTAAATGATATGATCCATTCATCGGATTGAATAGGTATTGTACGAACTCTATTCCCACAAAGAAACTTGGTGCGCCGATTCAAGCTTCGTCAACCAAACTTGTCATGAGAATGGTGGATCTGTAAAAGGTCGGGGCAATCCTGGTCACTTATGATCTGACATACAACATAAGTGACATTATATGACAATATAAAAAGCAAAGATAGAGAAAGTGCAAACACATAAGACTAGGGCTGGAAGTTTGGTACCGGTATTTGGGATATACCGAATATCGTACCGAATTTGTCTATATTTGGTATTACCGAATACACGTATTATTTTGTGGGATTGGGCTTGGGATTGAATTTCAATTGTTATTCGGTATTAGGGATTACGGGATTGGGATCGGTATATACCGAAATACCGATCAATACCGAAATATAAGCTAGTGTGTATTTTATCCTCCCTACTAGACTCTCTCATTCAATACTACGCGACCCTCAACCACCAAAACTGTCATTTAATTATACATAGATCATTACATCACTATTTCACACTAGTATTAGTCGTCTCTCAACCTCAAATTCGTCAAATTAAAAATTACCAATTACAAGAACTTAAGATGTTAGATCTAGGCAACTCAAGACTATTTGCTTAGTCTCTTTGCTCTAAATTAAACAATAAAATCTCATTTATATATTTAATTATTAATTGCAAAGGTAATTAATTATGTATTCGATAATACCGATTGGGATACCGAGGTACCGATTGGGATACCGAAATTATTTAGGGATTGGGATTGGGATACCGAAATTATTTAGGGATTGGGATTGGGATTGATTTTAGGGTGTAATTCGGTATTCGGGATTTCGGTATTTGGTATTGGGATACCGATACCGTACCGATTTCCACCCCTACATAAGACTAACTCCAACCCACAAAGAGAAATTTGGTTCCCCAAATAGTCAAATATGGTTTTTAGCTCCCCAAACCTCATTTTCACTCCAACCCTACAAAAAGTTAAATTTAGCTTCTCACCTTCCTTTTTCAGTTTATTTCTATAAATCATACTTATTTGACCTCTAATTTTTATATTTCACTTTAATTTTTTATAGTTTTTTATTATTTTTGAAAACTGAACTTTCGATGTAATTTTTTTTTAATACCGAGATAAAAAAATTTAGAAATTAATCGTTAATTTGTTATCATTTACGACCGTTGTTTCTTCACTATATTAATGATCTATCATTTAACTTTATAATAAATTTTAACAAAAAAATAACCAATCACAAAGAGAAACAGTGATAAACAAAACAAAAAAAGGATATGCCCCACCCGCTGGCCCACCTTAATCCCCAGCCATATTTGACTTGTCACCCAAAACAAGAGCTAAATTTAGCTCCCCAAATCAAGATACCAAAATTTGACAGCCAAAATTTTTGTAGGTTGGGGGAGCTTAAAAAAGAGCCAAATTTGGCTTTATAGCTTTTTAGCTCTCTGGGTTGGAGACAGCCTAAGTGATATAGAAGAGAAGAAGAAATCTTTACTTGGAATGCGTAGTGGCTTATTTATATGCAAAAGATTGCGGGTTAATTGCATGATTGGTCACTGTGATTACAAAAAGCGTTCATATTTGGTCACTAAAAATATTTAAATCCATTCGTGGTCACTAAAATTAGTTAAGTAATTCAAGTTTGGTCACTCTCCGTCCAATTTCGTTAACTTTTGCTTATGTGGCATTCAACTCTTATAATTGACCGTTAAATGTGCCACGTGGCAATTAAAAAATAATATATATATAATATAATATAATATTTTAACATTTTCAGCTTATTATTACAACTATTAAAAAATAAAAATTACAGAATACATCATTTTCTTCTTCTAATCCCTATGCAGCTCAACCTCAACCCTACATCTGCTACTTCACTCCCGCCGGCAATATCCCCCACGAGATCCCCCCAATCTCAATCTCATCCCAAACCTTCAATCCCATGTCGATCACCATACCCCCCCTAAGGATATCATCCTTATTAGAAGAGCATAAGCTAGCTCTGCCTTCTTCCCAATGCCACCGTTGCGCACCAGTTGACCCAGACTCCGACGAGAGCACTGAGATCTTGATTCTATACCCAGTAAAACCCGCCTTTGACAGATAACTATTTCCATCTCGCAGAGAAACCCCAAACTAAAAAAAAAACTCAAACCACTTCTTTAGATATGTTCTAAATCTCCAGATTTGCCTACACCGATCCAGAAAGAAGAAATCAGATGGAATTTTGGCGGAAAAAGACCTGGTATAGGTACGAGACGGACTGAATTTCGGCGCACGAGAATATCGTAGCGACAGCGATATGGAAGAAGATGACAAAGTATCTGCCATGACTGCAAATAAACCCCTTGAGCCCGAGCAGGAGAAGAAGCGTACAAAAAATTTGGTTGCTCCTCCTACTTCTGTCGATCCGGATGGGACGATGATCCTGCAGGAGCCGAATTGGCAGGATCTCGTGGCAATTTCTTATCACCCTAGGAAAGGCCTTGCGTTGTCGCCGATGAACATCTCGCAAAATCGAATGAGACTTTGCTTCCCCCAATTAAGGGTACCAGGTACTCGCAGCATATTCTCTCTTGTGGGAATGGAATTGTATGATTAGGTCGTCATATGCCAGCTCCCGAAAATTCTGCGCCTGCGATCTCAAGGGTAAGAAGATTCCGCCCTACGAGTTTGAGAGGGCATGGAAGTCGATTTCTCCTAAGACTGAGAGGTTCTCGCTCCAGTTACCCGACGACCACGTTTTGGGTTATTGAAGAACGAAGCTTGAATCGGAGGGGAGGCAGCTCGTTCATTTTCATCGGCAGGGGACGGGCGTCGAGAACTAAAATAAAATTTTTTATTTTTAATAGTTGTAATAATGAGGTGGAAATTTAAAATATTAATATTAATTTTTTTATTAATTTTTCAATTGCCACGTGGCACATTTAACGGTCAAAATATAAGAGTTGACTGCCACGTAAGCAAAAGATAACGGAGTTGGACGGAAAGTGATCAAACTTGAATTATTTAACTAATTTTAGTGACCACGAATGGATTTAAATATTTTTAGTGACCAAACATGAACATTTTTGTAATCATAGTGACCAACCATGCAATTAACCCAAAAGATTGCGTTCTCCTTTCTAATTGTGGTGGAACCTTGAACATGTTTAGTGAGATTAGACCCATATGTGTTTGGTGGATTGTACTTGTGCTTTGGGTTGGGTTATTCCATTTTTATGGGCCCAATAATTGGCACCTGCCACTCAATTACTCAATACCTAACTATAAGTCTTCAGCCATCAAATTGTATGTATACTTTGACTATTGCATGTTATGCTTAGGCGTCATCTCACACCTGGCCCCCCGGTTGTTAAACTTATGTGACCCAACATCACCCTAGTTGAACAAATTGCAGAAAAAATTATGTAAATAATGAGGAATACGACATAATATGACTCATAGCGTCGTTAGAGTCATATCTATAGAAAAGATTAAAAAAAATACTTAGACAAAATCCTAAAAGTGCATGTTGTCCCTCCCCTCCCCCCCTCAATTTTTCCTCAGTCAGGCGCCTAGTGGTACAATGGACGATTAACTAAAAGTCCTCTGACTTGTCAAATTTCACATAAGATCCTCTGGTATTTTGGCCCCCTGTTTCATGTCTCTCTATATGACACTGGATAACGAAAAAGGTAAAAAAGATAATAAATAAAAAAATTGCAGTAGAGGTTCGACTCATGCAATGGTGAGGAAGATAACTCTAGTAGTGATAGAAAATATTTAGTTCAACCCTTGAAGTGTTTCCTTGTGCATGTGTGTCAAATAACTAGCCAAGGATTGGATAGCCAACACACTGAATAAATGGGGGTGCACTCCGATATGAATCACAAAGTTGCACTTTAGCTTGGTGGTATAGTGGCTCTCAACCACTTTTTA